TGAGCTATTCCTGCAGCCCATGTTGTCCATTCTTGACTTTGTTTTCTGTCCAGCGCAGCCTAGGTCACTAGGAGTCAGACTGGTGTTGGTTATTAAAGAGACAGTTACCAGGGCTACTTAGAATGACCTCTTTCTGGTCCTGCATGGACGCTGCTGTCACCTTTCTCTTAGCCAGTCTGTTCAGAGGCAAATCAAATAGCACAGTAGAGATGTTCATGTCAGAATGGCATCCACAGAGCTGAAAGATGAATTTTTGTTGATAGAGGCCACTTGTTTGTTCCCGGCTGCCCAGAACCGAAATAATCACACAGAAGTTGTATTAATTACAACACTACATGGCCTATTAGCTTATGCATATTTCTAGCTCACTCTTATCTCTTAACCCATTTCTATCATTTTATATTTTACCACAAGGCTCGTGGCCTACTGGCAAGGGTTCCAGCTGGCAACTTGCATCTTTCTCTTCTAGTGGCTCCATGACATCTCTCTGACTTTGCCTTCTTTCTCCCAGCATTCAGTTTAGTTTTCCCCATCTACCTCTATTCTGTCATGTGCAGACCCAAAACAGTTTCTTTATTAACCAATGGTATTCACAGATACAAAGGGGCATCCCACATCAAATTTTCTGTAATGTTTTCTGCTGAGAGACCAGCTCTTAGCAGGTCAGGTACTGAAGAGAAAGTGTGGAGTTGCTGGCTAATCACACAATAGACTTTTTTTTTTCCTGTGAGAGAACAAAACTTAATTCTCTGGCACTGGCAAAAGAGGAGAACACACACACACACACACACACATGTCTTTTAACACATCAAGGTCTGACTTTACTTTTTCTCCCACAGCTTATATCCCTCAGCAAAATATTTCAAATAATAAAAAAGTTACAGTGCAATTAAATTCTATTTTTCTTCAAGTGAATGATTACAATGAGTAGAAATAAAAGACAACGTATTTCCTAGTACCCTTACATAATTAAATGTTTTAATTATAGATGAAAAAGAAATCTTCCAAAGACCCACATACATTCATTCATGTATTGTTACACGTTAACAGAGTGTAAGCAAGTGAGGTGGTATTCTCAGCCAGTTCTTTTACTGGCAGGCTGCATTTTGTGGTTACAAAGAGAGAACCAATCATTTTATTATTTATCTAAAAAGTATCTTACAAAACATCTTAAAAGAATCACAAATCTAAACCTTTATATATAAAAACTTAATTCCTCAGAGGGTACACCTACTCATCAACAGTTTTTTATTAAATCATACAAGGAAGTCGAGGGCAAAAATGGGTACAAGAGGTTAACCACTGTAGTAGTAGGAGCAGTAGGGCTGAGTCCCTGGCACCCGGCCGCCCGTATGGCTAGCTTAATACCCGAAATAATTACATGGAAACTGTATTCTTTTAAACACTGCTTGGCCCATTATATCTAGCCTATTCTCGGCTAACTCTCGCATCTGGACTAGCCCATTTCTAATAATGTGTGTAACACCCCAAGGTGCGCTTACTGGGAAGATTCTAGCCTACGTCCATCCTGGGTCGGAGCTTCATCATGTGTGCCCGGGAGAGGGGAGCATGGCCTCTGAGCTCACTTCCTCTTCCTCCCAGCATTCTGTTCTGTTTACTCCTCCCACCTATGTTTTAACCTATGAGGGCCAAGCAGTTTCTTTATTATAATTAACCAATGACTTTCCTCCATCAAATCACCACCTTTAATCACCACCCATTTTTAGCAAGAAAGGCACATCAGCTAGTAATAACCAGACTGTCTTTGTCCTTGTTCCCTGACTTCAGTGTCCCTCGTTCAGCTAGCAAAACTGTGCCTTTCTAAACTTTAAATTGTTCCCCAAGATTTTCTACACCAAAACCTTAAACAAAAACATATTAACCTAACTTTACTAACATTCAACTTCCTCTAAATTCTTTCTAAGTGTGGTGGTTGAATCATTAATCTGCCTCAGGAACAAATGTCAAAAAAACCAATCACTATTATTGTCAGTACTGCCTAATGTTACTGGTTAGAGTAACCTGCTTAGAGTTTGCACACAACTAATGAATTGTAAGGGACGTGATGACCACAATGTAATAGGCAGAGCTGTGCTCCATAGCAGCGTGAGGTCCTCAGGACATGTCGTCCTCAGGGCTCTGCCTCTCCAAGGGCTATTTAGCATGTCCATGCAAAACTGTGGGCCATTTTCCATGTGTTCCAAACCTGCTTCCTGTACCTCTCTCATGACCCCTACCAACTTTCTGTATTTGTATTCTCTGTCCTTTAAATTTGTGAGAATTTTGGCATTGGTAGATCATATATTTTAATTAACAGGTAGTATTGACTTCTAAGCAATCTACTTGCTTTACTTCATTTCAGCTAAGAGCTTTGTAGAAGCTGAACATTCTAGAAGCAGTTTTGTCTATATTTTTATACTGTGTATAAGTTGCTGCTTGACTTGGAGCTAAGATTACCTCCAAATATCTCTGCTTTTTCTTTGTATCCATGTTCAGAAGTAGACCTGTTAACTAAACAGTCTTAGGACTAGGTGGACCTTTATGTAAATGTGTTCCCTCAGTGAAATCCCCATACTTCCTTTGCTAAAGAAAAGCATAGCTTTATCAATGAGTCCCGTGCTCTCCTCGTCCGTTGTAGGTAAACAGTATTTCTTGCTCTTGTGTCTTGGCTGTGTTTGTTTTGTCTTCATCCTCAGAAAGATGGGAACCAAGGATGTTGGCTAATAAGGTGCTTATAAAGAGCACCTCCATTTCTATCTCTTCATGGTCAACTGTACTTTTTATTATTATTTCCTTGTCAACAGATTTAGGGAGTTCAGCATCTGTGAATTTAAGGGCACCCAGATCTACATAGTGAGTTCCAGGCCAGCTAGTGCTGCATAGTGAGAGCCTATCTCAGAAAACCTTAAAGAAAGGAGTATCTGTGGTATGTTCTCTTTTTTGAGTCAGGGTCTCTCTGCGTGATTTATGTGATGAAATTTAACTTAAGTTTCCTGCAAAAGAAATAGTATGTTCTCTTAAAAGCTGAGCCATCTCTCCAGCTGCAAATCCAAGTATTAAGTCAATAGGTGTATTTTGTCAAACATCTAAAGGTTGATTCTTTTATCATTGCAAAAGCATTAAAATAATTATAAGGATCTTTCCAATGAAAAAGATAAATTCCATGATACACTATTAGCTTTCAAGGATTACATTCAAGAGAATAGTCTCTCTAGAACAAAGAATTTCTATCATCTCCATTTCTTAGATATAACTTTTTATTTTTGAGATCAGGTCTCACTGTGTAGTTTCAGTTGACCTTGAACTCAACAGATCCATCGGCCTCTGCTCCCAGGGTTAGAATTAAAGGCATAAGCCACCATACCTGGCCATAGGTATTATTCCTTTAAAAACGGCGGCGGCGTGGGTGTGTGGACAAACACAGGATAGACGAGACGCAAGAGGAAGAGACGGACACGCGGCTCCCACGTGGGTGCACTTTAATGGGAGAGGGGAACACAATAAGGGGTGGGACGTGCAGACACACAAGGGTTGGGGGCAAGGGAGAGGCCAAGAGAGAGCGAAACCTCGTGGACCCTCGCTTTTAACGGGGGGCGCAAGGTTATCTGGGAGGAATGGCCTTCACCTGGGCGCGGCCAGCGCGCACACAGGTGACGGTAATCCAGGAGAAGTCTGGGAGCTGTAGTTTCCAAGGAATAACAATAGGTATATTCTGTGCAATGGTTACATAAAATATGACAAGATGATGGGTTGCTAAGAAGAAAACTGCATTCTAGACCTCAAGTAAATATACTGTAAATATAACATATAAGTAAAATATAAATATACTGTAAATAACATGCTTCTTTTTAACATTGCCTGGGGCTTTCCTCATAGCCTTTACTTGTGCATGTATGTGCATACTGTCCTAGTCCTCTAAGAGGCCAGAGGATGGAGTCAGATCCCTTCGAGCTGGAGAGTTAGGCATATGACCAAACTGTCCTGCATGTTGAGAACCAACCTCAGGTCCTGTGCCAGAGCAGCACACAGTTGTAGCATATGAGCCTACTCTGCAGCCACTGCGGGTTTCTGAAGCTGGTGAACCTGTGGAAGATGGTTTTATGCAGCTTTTCTTCCCTCATACTGCACTTGCCAGCCAAAGAGCACCCACTCAATGCACCCTTGAAAACGGCAGGAGTCACTCTAGAATTCTTGGTTCTGGTCCTCATGACTGGCATCATGGTCACAAGTAAGATGGGATAAATAAACATAAGCTTGTGCTTTGAAATTGCCAGATATTTGTGTGCTGGAATTTGGAGATGTTTGCCGCCAGCAGGGTCACCTTGGAAGGGAAAGCCATCTTCATCCACCCATCACCTTCTGCTTTCTGCTGTTTTTATCAATTATTTCCAAGTTGTGACAATAGTACCACATGCGCCTTGGACCCATCCATGAGCTGTCAGCTGAGCTATGAGCTAGAACTGTCCATCTATTTTATAATCACGATTAGCATGTGCCTTCACCGTCTATTTTCCAAGTTTAGATAGAAACCAGTAGCCAGTTGTAGACTGTGCAAAGCCGTAGTTCTTTTTTTCTCTCTCAAGATTCTGTACAAGGACTGTTCATTTCCATTTTGCCTTCTAGAATTTTAAATGGATTGGATAGTGCATAATTAGATATTAGATATTTTGATCTTGCTGAAATAATAGCATTGGAAATACAAAGTGCAGCTCATGAAACTGGAAAAAAAATGGTAAATCAATTCCTTTTTCCTGCTGGGTCCTAGTTTGCCTAGTTTGTGAAGTTAGCATTTTCATAGCTTCTCATAGTCCTCATCAAGAAATGGAGGGAATTTAAGATTAGTTAGATTATTGAATTCCTCACCTCAAACTTCAGGGTCATTTTCAGGCAATGGGGGCTACGTTTTTAAAGGCGGTTCCCCTAAGGGAGCCGAGGGAACTATCACCAGCTTAGTTGTCAGTGGCACTGGTTTTCCTTGACCTGTGCTGTTCTCTCTTTAGTTGTAATAATATTGGTTGGCATATTCTGCTTCTTGATCGTGAGGCTCTGCTCTCAGGAAAGGAAGATAATATAGAGGCGGGAAGCGTACGTGTAAATACAGGCATAGCCTTCTGATCAGTCTGCCCAGCACACTGCACTTCTGATTAACACGCCTGGCCCTGCTCCTAAATATTCTCTAAAGTCACAACATTGAACTGTAAAGTACCATGGGTAGCCAGTAGCTGATATGTCTGCACTTGCCGTGTCTCCTTGTATGTCCTGATTCTGTACAGAGACCCTAGAGGGTTATATGAGTCTTCACTTTTCAATCCAACATAATGTGCCGGTAAACAGCACCTTCCATGGCCTGTGCATTAGCTCAGGTTCCTACCTTGCATGAGTTCCGGCCATGCCGTCCTTCCTGAGCATGGGGAGCAGCAGCCCTTCTGAGGAAACATAATTATTGTTGACCTCGTCATAGAATGAGCACACATGAGCTGCTTTATCGTCACCATGGAAGGCAGATTTGCTAACTCAGAAAGCCCTAGTTTCTCTAGTGTTTTCTTGAAGGTCTGTTGTTTCCACTTAGCAGGCAGGTAGGAGGCTTCTGGAGTTAAGGCTGTAAAGAGCTTAGCATCTGTGTTCCTACTACATTTGCATATGAATGCCACAGTGTTTGAGCTGTCTGTGTTAGTAAGGCCAGCATTACTGGGCTTGCTGGTCTTGTTGGTCAACACTGAGCATATCTGAACTGTGCTCTTATTTCTGTTTGCACTCACGTTATCTCTTTATTCTTTCTCAAATACTATCGTTTTTATTTTAGTTGTATTTGAAGTTTTCAAGTCTAGTAATGTCACTGTGCTATTAATTCAGTCTTATGTTGATTGTTTTTTCATTCATGATGACCTTTTATCATTGGTTTTCTATCGTTGATAGCATAAAATTTTAGATGTTTTAGTGGACTTTTCTTGAATCTGTAGCTCAGAATAAGAATTTTTGTAATATACTGTTGAAATGGTTGCTTTATTTTCAAGGTTGGCTCAGTTCCCTGCTAAAACTAGCCCATCCTCCATCAAGACAAAAGTCCTGGTGGGAATCTACACTTCTCAAAGTTTAAATATGCACTGTTACACCATTTCTTTAAAACGACACTTTCATTAGGTTAGCACTAACACAGGAGGAGCTGGCACCTATGGCCTAGGAAGGAAGATCCAACACAGCAAAGGAGTAGAGAAAAGAATTTATGGCCTCAAGCAGAGACAGTTGAATCCATCCACATATCTTACCACACAGATTTTAACTGTAGAAGTCAATCATTGTCATCCAGGTGTTTCACCTTCCTTTCAGTCCCCAGACACAATATTTTGCTTGGCCCCTTTTATCCCAGTTGAGATTGGTTTGAACTGTGATCAGACATATTTGTGACTCCATGTTGGCTGGAATTTAAGAATTCATTCAGAATCCAACTAGCTAAAGTAGTTCAATTGAATTTAAACCTTGGTAGTCTTGGGTGACACATCCATCCAGTTAGAAATGCAGTTTTCAGATGGTATCATGTACAACAGTCACATTTAAGGACACTGTGAGGCTGCTTTCATTGCTTCCACCTGATCCTGGGTTCCCCGGTTCTCTGACATACTGGGAAGGGAGGGAAGCAAAGGATCATGCCTTGCACTCACAGAAAAGGTAGAGACTTAAACCTAACTTTGGAGGTCTTATATAGTTTAATCTCCTCTTAGACGTGACAGGGAAAGTTATATTGAGGAAGCCTGAAACCTAGCAGGAAGTACTTGGAATAAACATTTCCTTTTTTTTTGTTTTCTTTCTGTCTCTCTGTCTCTCTCTCCATTCCTCTCTGCCTCATTTCCTCCCTTTCCTTTTCTCTCTCTTCTTTCTTATTCCCTGTTTTCCCTCTATTTCTTTCCCTCTTTTCCTCTTGAGCTCTTTCTTCTTAGGTTATATTTCTTTCGTGGTTTATATTTGCCTTAAGATCGTTAGCCTTCTATCTTTGAATGCTAGGTTTCCATATAGTGGAACTAATTATGTAGTCTGCCCTTGTGGGAGTGGGTGTGTATTGTTTGTTAAGGTATATCACTCTACATGGGCTATGAGGTTTCAAAAGACCAGTGCAAGACAAGTGTTTGTTTCTGCCTGCTTCTCTGTGTATCAGGATATTATTTTTAGTCACATACATGCTTACCTTGATGTCATTCATGATGATAATGGACTGATCTTCTGTGTAATCAAGCCCCAGTTTAAAAACCTGGCAATATAACAGTCACCATGGTCATGGTGATCCTTCACAGCAATAGAACAGTGACTAAGATAGATGTTTTGTGTAATATTTTGGCATATTGTCTGTATGTATTCTTCCCGTATCCCATGAGAATGAGGAAGGCTAAACTAAATAGTCATGGATTGTCTTGACAAAACATTTAGTCTGTGGCTTGGTTATTACTGATGACTCGTGCAGAGCTGTAGAGGAAAAGAGCAACAATAGGGGCAGATATTAATGAAACCTGTGTAATTTGGCTAGGCAGTTTCAGAGGGCAGTCATGAGCTGAAACAGAGACAGTCATTATCAGGGAGATTAGGGCCATTAAAGAGAGGGTACCTGGTCTTTGGAAATATAGAAAAGGTGTTGCAACAGAACTGTACACCCCAATAAAGAGCCTAAAATGAGAAAGAAAAGGCAACGAGTTTGCTAATCCCAGAAACCACCTTTATACAGAATTTGTTAGGGCTCTGTTCCAATAGGACAGGGCAAATCTGAAGCTAGAAAATGTAGACAAGTCATCTGTATGTCACATTTTCTTGAGAGAAGAAGGGTTCTTCTTCTGGGCTTTCAGTTCAGCACGGTTGCAACCATCTCTTTGGCAGTCAAGAACACAATGAGGAGGCTGTAATAGTTCATCACATAAAGGTGTGAAAATGAAGAATGGGTTGCATCTTAAGACCATTAGATGTTGAGATACCCAAGCTTTGAGACACCTGCCATGAATATCTGCAGATAGGCCATGGAATTAGCCAATGAGATGAGAAAGATGTGGGAAAAGTTTCAGAAAGAGTCATCTAAGCCCTTTGAAACTGAAGTTCCAGGTGCCTGACATGGATGTTCAGGGTTTAGTGTTTGGCCAGCAGGTTTTCAGTCTTGCCTTGGTCCAATCTTTCCTCACTTCTTTGGAAAGAAAATGGGTTGAGTGTAAGCTTGTCATATCATGCCCTATGTCAAAATGTGGTGGGTTGAATGAAAAATCGCCCAGGTAGGAAGATGAATTTGATACTTTGTCTCTGGTTTGTGGTTTCCACTGTGGTGCATATGGTACCTTTAGGATGGAGGGAACTTTCTAGAGTATGTTATTCTTTGAGAATTAGCATTGAGTGTTTATACCCCTACCACATCAGTTTTCTTTCTGTGGTTGAAAGTTAGCCCTTTTCCCTTCCTTATCCTGCATCCACACCATTACCATTATAACAGGCTCCATCCCTAAATAACCTAAGGTAAATAGAAGCAATTGCTTTCCTTGCTAAGCCATTAGTCTGCCGGGATATTTTTGTTTTTACATTTTGGGCTGATTGTACATATGAAGCATTTGCTCTTGTGCTGAGCTATACCCACTTCTTTACTTTTAAACTTTGGCAGAAAATACCATTTTTCTTCCCACTAGGATGGCATGCATTCATAACATTAATACTGATCTCCTGAATGATTGCATTGCAGGTGTGTAACATTCTCGATATCTATGCATGCCATGATTTTGTCTCGTTTTTGAAATATGTGCATGAATTATATATACATATATATAATATATAGACTATATATTGTATTATATAAATGCACATGCATGTGTACTGTGTGTGTGCTTCATGTTTACTGAAGTCAGAAGACAACATTGAACTTTCTTTTTTGTTTTTTTTTTGTTTTTTTTTTTTTTGAGACAGGGTTTCTCTGTGGCTTTGGAGCCTGTCCTGGGATTCGACCTGTGGACCAGTCTGGGCTCAACTCATAGATATCCACCTGCCTCTGTCTCCCGAGTGCTGGGATTAAAGGTGTGCGCCACCACTGTCCAGCTGGATTCTCTTGAACTGCAGTCACAAATTGTTGGGACCACCAAGTGAGTGCTGGGGATTGATGCAGGTCCTGTGTAAAAGCAACAGGTGATTTTAACTTTTTACCCATCTTTATATTCAACTGGGTTTGTTTGTTTTCTTTTATTTTTTAGTATCAACTTTACTTCACTAAAGTTTTTGAGAACGCTTTTAATCTGTCAACCATAAACTTATTAAAAATGCATTCCTTCATATGAATATCATATTAGCCTTAGAGTTTAAATGAAGTACTTCAGTTTTCTGAAAGACAAGTACATTTCTGGAGGGAATATATAACTCATTGGTGGTCTCTCAGTTGTATTTTTTGTTTAAGGCAGGGTCTCAGTATGTACTTTTGGCTGCCCTTTAACGTTCAACACAAACCAGGCCAACTGAAAATCAGAGGTTCACCTGTCTTTGTCTCCTGAGTTTTGGGGCTAAAGGTGTGCACCACCATGCCCATATTGTTTATCTTTCTTTGATAACAGGAATTTTGATATAATTTTGCTGATGCTTACTCAATACTTTCCCTCTGTTTGCATGTTTTTTTTTTTGCATTTCTCTTGCAATGCCATATACTATTGAGAAGGCCCAGAAATGAGAGAATTATGGTCCTCCTTTTTTATTTCCTTCTAAAATGACTTGGTGATTGCATTAGAAATTCTGTGATATGAAATAAATTTGTTGAGTGTGTAGAATCATGCAAATATATCCAGTGAAGTGTATAGTTACAAAGCATTCAGTCTCACCACTTCTATTACATATCTGTATGGCATATTTTAGGATGCAGTGACCTATGAGGATGTCCTAGTGAACTTTAGTGAGAAAGAGTGGGCTTTGCTGGATCCTTCCCAGAAGAATCTCTACAGAGATGTGATGCTAGAAACCTGTGAGAACCTCACTGCTATAGGTAAGAATGTGAGTGTTCCTTCACTGTGTAGCTTAAGAGGATAAATCTTTTCTTGGACATTGGTGTTCCAATGTGATATTGACTATGAGAGAGGGAGAATGTGGTGAATAAATGAGATATGGTTGTAGGGTTCACTGAAGATAATAACTCAAAATTTGCATAATTTCCAATAATATCTATTTCTGATACTACGTTTTAGGCTACAGGTGGGAAGACCAGAATACTGAAGATCATCGTCAAAGTTCTAGGAGACATGGAAGGTAATTTTCCCATGCAAAGTGATACATTTGTGCCTGTACAGATTTTAATGTGCCTGATATTTAATGAAACCAACACTATAAATTCTCAGAACATCAAGTACCTCAATTTCAGGTAGCTGATCTGTGTTTGCAAGTCATCCCTCTAAGAAATAAGACAAGGAAATAATGCCTTAACAGATGTCACCATAATAATCGTAGCTCCCTGAGATCCATGTTGTAGAACCATCCATCCATTTAGTTTCATCCCATTCATGAACTGTAAAGTCATTCATGTTTATTAGGGAATTAGGGTGTGTCCAAGTTCTTCTATAAACAAATTGTTCCTTAATTAAGCCGGTGTTACTCATGTAAATTACCATAATTTAGTGAGAGGGGCAGTTTATGAGAATTAAGGTTGTTGTGGTAGAGAGACCTTAATCCCTATACCACATCTCTATGAGGAACAATAAGTTAAACTGTGTGAATGCAATGGGAAAACCTTTTGTTTGTTTTCTTCCTTTAAGGTATATCATCTGTCACTCTGGATACAAGCCATGTGAGCAAAAGAGATATGGAAAGAAGCATTGTAGCCCTGTCTCTCCCCGACAAAGCTATGTAGTAGTTCCCACTGTGGGAAGACATAGTTTTGATGATACAATTACTTGGATTTCCAGCTTCAATAGGAATACATCAACATGGTTACACTGGAGAAAAGCCTTCTGAGTTTAAGGAATATGGAAATTCTTCTGTCTGTGCTGGTTCACATTGCCCATGTAATGTGACTCACACTGCAAGAAAATCTTATGAATGCAAACCGTGTGGTAAAGCTCTGAGTTCTTCCAGTTCTCTTGAAAGAGGTGAAAAAACTCCTATGGGAAAAGGTTTCTATAAATGTGAGCCACGTACTAAAGGCTTTAACCATCATCATATGAGTCTTCAAACACACAGAACATATAATAGAGAAGAGCCCTGTGAATGTAAACAGGTGATAAACATTTAGATCTGATTCATCTTTGCAATTACACCAAAAGACTCATTGGAAAATAAAATCTTATGAACCTAATCAAAGTGATAAAGCCTTTGCATGTCGCAATTATCTTCAAGTACCAAGAACTCATATTAAAAAGAAACAGTATAAATGTTGTCATTGTGGAAAAACCTTTGCATGTTCCAGTTATATTCAAATACATGAAGGAATTCATACTGGAGAGAAACCCTATGAATGTAAACAATGTGGGAAAACCTTTGCGTGTCCCAGTTACCTTCAAATACGTGGAAGAAGACATACTGGAAAGAAGCCCTATGAGTGCAATCAATGTGGTAAAGCCTTTGCAAGTACTGGTGATCTTCATAGGCATAAAAGAAGTCATACTGGGGAGAAACCCTATGTGTGTAATCAATGTGGTAAAGCCTTTTCAGAGTCCAGTAATTTTAAACATCATTAAAGAAATCATACTGGAGAGAAACCCTATGTATGTAACCAATGTGGTAAGTCCTTTTCATCTGGCAGTTATCTTCAGATGCATGAAAGGAATCATACTGGAGAGAAACCCTATGTATGTAATCAGTGTGATATAGCTTTTTCATCTCGCAGTAATCTTCAAAGGCACAAAAGAAGTCATACTGGAGAGAAACCATACGACTGTAATCAATGTGGCAAAGCATTTACACATAAATATCACCTTCACAGTCATGAAAGAAGTCATACTGGAGAGAAACCTTATGAATGTAATCAGTGTGGGAAAGCTTTTGCTCATAGTAGTCATCTTCAAAATCATGAAAGAATACATACTAGAGAAAAATTCAATGAGTGTAGTAAATGAAGTAAAGTTTGAATCGCAGATGAAGACACCATCCTTTTGGAGATGCTAGTGCCATGGGATGCCCACCAAGATCATCAGTATTGTTGAACTGGAACCATTCAGAGCCTAGAAGAGAATTTGTGTGTACGGCAGAGGGCATAGCAAGAGAAGTGACCCAGGCACTTTGGCATAGCTCCGACGATTGTGAGTGGATCCCAGTTGTTGGGTGTTGGAGTGAGGTTTTGCTTTTCTCTGATTGTGACTGCCGTGCTTCTTCTCTCTTGAAGGGAAAAGCTATTTAATTTTCATTTTTATATGAGCCATAGTTGAAAGACTTTGAACTTTTAAAAAATATTTTGGCTTTTTAGTGAGATTGAATATTTTTTGAAGAGAAATTTTTTTTTTAGAATCATTGTTTAGTATATTTTTATATTCCATTCCACTTGATTTTCTGACTTACCGAGAACTTAGGTCTTTTTGTCTGTAGTTTGTTTGCTGTGTCCACACCAACTTTTGAAATCACTGTAGTGCTGATCTGTAAGGTTACAGCTACAGTGGTTGAGACTTATTTTCATTACTTTTCTGTTGCTGGGAGGAATCTTCATGGTCAAGGCAACTTATAAACCAAATCTTTAATTTGCTTATTTATAGTTTCCAGGGGTGAGTCTGTGACCATAAAGGCAGGGAGCATAGCAGCACGTAGGCAGGTTTGATAGAGCAGTGGCTGAGACATTGCTTTTACAAACTAAACACTAGATCGTGACTGGGCTGGTTAGTGTTTTTGTCATCAACATAGGCCAGGGTCATCTCTGCCTCAGTGGTTCATGCTAGAAGCCTCCAGACGTCATGGTTGTGAAGTTCCACAAAGTCACATATCTACAGGCAGTGCAAGGTCCATCAGGAAGATTCTAGCCTACGTCCATCTTGGGTTGGAGCTTCATCGCGTCTGCCCTGGAGAGGAGCAGCATGGCATCTGGCTCACTTCCCTTCTTCCCAGCATTCTGTTCTGTCTACTCCACCTACCTAATTTTCTGACCTGGATTCTGAAAGCAGTAGATTATCCCAATGAAGCATTCTTGGATGGAGTTCAGTGAGTGACAGAGCCTGTGTCTATATATGTAGGAGATCCTTGGTTTGATCTTCTCAACACCCAATGGAACCTTCTGTTGAAAGTGATTTCTGTCCCACCTGGTCCCGCAGCCATTCAGTCCTCAAAGCTCTCACTCACTTCCTGCATCATTCTCAACTTTGTTTCATCGGTGTATTTATATCCGTGAGAGTTGCCACAAACTGGAGGTATTTCTTCATCAGAGTGGTTTGACGACAACTGTGGCCACCTGGGTTGCAAAAATTGCCATCTTTCTTCTGTGTTTGTTTCTTTCTCAAAACTAAAGCACCAAGTCCATTAGTTCACCTAGCCTGCAGATTCCTGATGGCGGTTCTGAACTTTCCGGGAGGCTAAGGGCTCAGGCCTGGATGCCCAGGAGCCCACGGAGCCCTCACCCACCTAAAGAAAAGGCAAACAGCACCACAGCGCCCTGTCCTCCATTGGGTCCGCCGAAGAGAAATTTTTAATGTGTTTGAATTTGTAAAGATTATGGGACTTACAGTAAAATTATTTATTTTTTTAATGTGAGTTCTTATAAATGAATAAGAAAGGAAAGGTTGTGACTTTAATAGTTTGTGTGCCAAGTTGACAAATAGTTATTTGTACTGAATAGTTGTACGTCATCTTCACATGCAAACTAGATTATTGGAAAGAAGGGAAACTCAACTGAGAAAATGCCTCCATAAGATCCAACTGTAAGGTATTTTTTTAGTGATAGATGGGGAAGAGTCCTAGGGTATAGAAGAAAGCAGACTGAGCTAGCCAGTAATTAGCATACCTCCATGGCCTCTGCATCAGCCCCTGCCTCTCAGTTCCTGCCCCATTTAGGATTCTGTCCTGATTTCCTTCAATGGTGAATGGAAATATGGATGTGTAGGTCAAATAAATGTTTTCCTTCCAGCTTGCTTTTGGTCATGATGCTTCATTGCTGAAATGCCAAGACATCCTGTCTCAAAAAATCAAAAAAAAGGGGAGCATGTGGACAGATGGCTCAACATTTACCACTGGCTGTTCTGCCAGAGGACACAATTTCAGTGTCCAGCACACACATGGAAGGTCACGACTATCTGAAAGTCCTGTTCCATGGTATCCAACACCCTCACACAGACATACATATTTAAAAAAATATGCATGTAAAATAAAAATTAATTATAGAAAGAACATATCACATTATGAAACTTTCCCTAACATAATCAGGACTTATCTCTACTCAACTAAATTTTTTATCTTCATTCACATCAAGAGAACTGTGTTAACAATTGCAATAAAAAGTAATGTTCAAAGTCCAATCACAGAGGGATAAAAATCTATTGAGTTGTTCAAGGACCAAATAGCAGGGAATTTCATCACCTCCAAGTGATAGAAGACAGAAAGAGTAATGGTGCATCTTCATCTTCTACACTGTGATAACGTATTTGACAGCTGGGGATTTGACTCAGTAGTACTGCTGATGTTCAGTACCCACGTTTGGTTCCTAGCACCCACAACATAAGGCTCAGAACTACTTACAAAGACTTGACCTGGATGTCTGATACACTCTTCTGACATCAGAACTTGGATACTTGAGACCACAGATGCAAGCCCAGACTACTATACCTAGCAAAACTTTCAATCACCATAAACATAGAAAACAAGATATTGCATGACAAAACCAGATAAAACAATACCTATCCATAAATTCAGCCTTAGAGAAAGTACTACAAGGAAAACTCCAACCCAAGGAAGCAAGTTGCACCCACTAACATACATGCAACATATAACTTCACACCTCACAAAGCAAAACACAAAGAAGGGAAACACAAACACTACCACCAAAAAATAACAGGAATAAACAATCACTAATCATCAATATGTGGGCTTTTTGTTGTTTGGTTTTGGTTTTTTGAGACAGGGTTTCACTACAGCTTTGGAGGCTGTCCTGGAACTAGCTCTTGTAGACCAGGATGGCCTTGAACTCACAGAGAACACCTGCTTCTGCCTCCTGAGTGCTGGGATTAAAGGTGTGCACCACCACTACTCTGCTAATCAATATGTCTTAATATCAATGTACTCAATTTACCTATAAAAAGACACAGATTAACAGTATGGATATGAAATGAGGATCTATTTTTCTACTGCATACAAGAAACACACCTCAACTACAAAGACAGACATTACCTCAGAGTAAAGTGGTTGGAAAAACACTTTCCAATCAGATGGACCTAAGAAACAAACAGGTGTAGCTACCTAATATCTAACAAAATAGAACTTCAAACTAAAATCAACCAAAAGAGATGGAGAAGGACACTTCATACTCATCACAGGAAAAATCCATCAAGATGAAGTCTCAATTGTGAACATCTTTGCCCCAAATACAAGAATACTTTCATATGTAAAAGAAACATTACTAACACTTAAATTACACATTAAATCCCACACACTAATAGACTTCAACACCCCACTCTGACCAATGGACATGTTTGACAGATAGAAACTTAACAGAGAAATTAGAGAACTAACAGATGTCATGACTCAAATGAACTTGTTTTTTAAAGATTTATTTTTATTTATTATGTGTACAGTATTCTCAGTATTCTGTCTGCGTGTATGCCTGCAGACCAGAAGAGGCACCAAATTTCATTACAGATGGTTGTGAGCCACCATGTGGTTGCTGGGAATTGAACTCAGGACTGCCTGAAGAGCAGTCAGTGCTCTTAACCTCTGAGCCATCTCTCCAACCCCCAACTCAAATGAACTTAACAGATATCTACAGAACATTTTACCAAAACACACACACACAAAATATACTTTCTTCTCAGAACTTAATGGAACCTTCTCTAAAACTGACCACATACTTGGAAACATCAACAGATTAAAAAAAACTGGAATAATTTCCTGCATCTTATCTAATCAACACATCTTAAAGTTAGAATTCAACAACAATTGCAGTAAGCCCATAAACTCATGGAAATTGATCAGTGCTCAACTGAGTCACCCCTGGGTCAAGGAAGAAACAAAGAAAAAAAATTAAAGCCTTTCTAGAATTCAACAAAAGTGAATGCACAACATTCCCAAACCTATGGTACACTATGAAAGCAGTGCTAAGAGGAAAGTTCATAGCACTAAGTGCTTACATAAAGGAAATGGAGAAATCTCACATTAGCAACTTAACAGCACACCTGAAAGGTCTAGGACAAAAAGAAGCAGACTCACCCAGGAGTGATGGACAGAAAATAATCAAATCGAGGGCTGAGATCAATAAAAAGAAACAAAGAAATTAATGAAACAAAGAGTTGTTTCTTTGAGAAAATCAAGGAGGAAAAACCATTATCCAAACTAACCAAAAGACATAGGGAGAATATCCAAACTCACAAAGTCAGGAATGAAATGGGGGACATAATGATAAACACTGATGATACACAAGGAATCATTAGGCCATACGTTAAAAACTTGTACTCCACAAAATTGGAAAATCTAAAAGAAATGGGAAATTTTCTGAATAGATACCACATACCAAAACTAAATCTAGACCAGACAAACAATTTAAATAGGCCTATAACCCCTAAGGAAATAGATGCAGTCCACCACAAAAGTCTCCTAACAAAAAAAGTTTAGGGCCAGATGGTTTCTGTGCAGAATTCTACAAGCACTTCGAAGAGCCAACACCTATACTCCTCAAATTGTTCCATACAATAGAAACAGAAAGAATATTGCCAAACTCTTTTTATGAGGCTACAGTTACCCTGATACCCAAATCACACAAAAATACAACTAAGAAAGAAAATTACTGACCAATCTCCCTCATGAACAATGATGTAAAAATACTCAACAAAATACTGTCAAACCAAATCTAAGAAAAAACACATAAAAATAATCCAAATAAAAAATAGTTTTTAAATAAATTTAAAAAGTTTTTTAAATAAATTAAAAATAGTTTCTTAAAAATAAATTTTAAAAATTTCAGTGAACAAAATCTTCTACCA